CCCAAAAATTTGCATAACACATGTAGTAATTATCTTACACCAGTTTGTTGATTTATTATAAAAAATGTTTTCTTGTATGAAAAAGAAAAATTGAAATTTTATTAACTTGAGTATGATGTAAAAATGATATTTTATTACCATTATAATTGAGCCGCGTCATGACAAAACCAACATAATGGGTTTGAGACCAGCATGGATCCAGACCAGCCTGCGCATCCGCGCAGTCTGATCAGGATCCATGCTGTTCGCTTACAAACCATATAACAAGTAGAGAAACTGATAGCAAACAGCATGGATCCTGATCAGACTGCGCGGATGGGCAGGCTGGTCTGGATACATGCTGGTCGCAAACCCTGGAATTATGTTGGTTTTGTCGTGACGTGGCTCATATGTATTATTACCATTATATACTACTATAAACCAAGTTTATGGTAAAGAGTGCATTTCTCATTGTTTTGTTGTTGAGCGCCTGTTACATTACTAAGCACCTAATAAGGGAATAAAAATATTCAATGATGCATCATATTATATTATAATGTGTCAAGCTCCCGTTTGTAACAATTAAATGAACAATATTTTAACCCACAATGTGTTTGTAAATGTTTAAAAATGTGACAATATTCTTTCCATTTATGGAATTTATGACTGCTGAAGAATATAGAGTGAATATGTATATACATTTTATATACATTTACATTGTGTATACATGTATAATATATATATACCGGTACCGTTGGCCTAGTGTCTGCCGTAGGATAGGGAGGTCAAAAAAGGTGTGTAATGACTGGCCCTTTCAGTAGGGGTGACACTATAAAAAAGACCTTTTAATAGGGCTGAAACAGAATTTTTTTTTATATCCAGTTAACGTTGGTGGTTTTATTCAGGTGCCTTGATGCACAGGGGACGGAACAGAGGTCTTTCTCTGCCAGAAATTTAGCTTGAGATCGTGTGACCTAATGCCCTCACAGTGTCCCTGCAATAAAAGATATTTCAGATTTACATAACCATGAGTATATGACTCAGAACTGTGCAATAGATCAATTTAAATGGAAAATTTAATGTATGAATTAATTAACATCACCCTGAGTCAATTTGCTAATTTAGTGAAAGTTATTTAAAAAACTTTATTTATAAATAATGATATTTATCTTTAATAATTTCCCCCTTAGGTGTCATACTGTCAAATTTATCATGGGGGTTAAATGGGAGCTTTGATAAAATTACAGTGGTAGCAGTGAGACCGTAGCCTAAATATTGTCCGGTTAATATCTGTAAATATTGCCTGTTTAATATCTTTTAGTTTTACCTTAATTTCATATTCAAATTTTGTTTTACCTGAACTTTGTATTAATTAGAACATCAGTTATTTCATGCACTGATTTTGAATGCCCACTAATGTTTTCACTAAAAGGTTTGAATACTTACAGAGAGTGGTATAGATGTATATTATTTGAAACAATAGGTGCACATCCAGTTATCACCTCATTAAAACATTTTAAATTTCAATATATCAAATGAATAGACACCTTGTAAATGATATAGCCTCTTAAATGCAACAGCTGTTAATGTAAACCCTTCCCTGAATCCCCCCTCTCATACATGTGAACTTTTTTCCATGATCAAGTGGTAGACTTTTCTTCAAAAAGAGGGAGATTTTAGAATTTGCAATAAACAAAGAAGGAAGTTCTGACATCAAAAATATTGAGATTTCTTTAATTTGTGAAAATACCCCTTATTTTAAGAAAAATCTTTGAAAATACGGCTGCAGAAAGTGGGAGTCTCCCGCTAAAAGTGGGGAGTTCACATGTAATTGCCCTCCCCACACCCCCCCACCCCAAAAAAAGCATAAAGTTTATAATAACATCTCCTGCACGTTCATCCTGCCTTATTGCATGCACCAATGAGTTTCTTTATGTCAGTTAAAATAGAAAACAAAATGAAGATTTAAGGGAAATTTTTTATAGTGAAAATATGAATATCTTGGATGTAGAAATTGACAAGGTGATCAATTGAATAGGTTAACAAGGGTTAAGGTGAAGTGTGTCACATTTTTTGACAGTTATATGTTTATATCATATATGATAATTATATATATATGAGCCCGTATATTTACCTAATTAATGTGTGTTATACATTAATGATATGTATCAGGTCGGTGTTGAAATAACTGATATTATGCGTGTTTTTTGGATGGTCCATGATTAGTGGTTTTGTGGGGGATTTTTCAGTTTTATCGAAACCTGTAACTTTCAACAAATTCAAGTGCACTGTGTTTACTTAAACGTGTTATAAATAATTAAAAAAAAATTAGAATAAACCTATTTTTTTTTCGACAAACATGAAAACAGAGGGAATTAGTTTGGCAAGTGCTTTCTTGAAAGTAGAGGTAAGAAATGCCATCAGAGGTTTTGTACATCATGTATAGTTATAATGTCTTTATTGCTAAGCTTATTAGTGTTGTGTTTCTTTACTTCAATCAAGCAATGATGAAATTGACGAGGCATGAAAAAGATCGGTTTTTCAGAATTGCATATTACATTACTATATATGTTACAGAGTTAATTTAGAGATGCATTATTGATAGAGATGTACTGAATTCTGTATCAGAAGCTATCAAGTACATGTGACTCAATTTACGAATAATGTATGTTTCAAAGGGAAAAAGGTACTGCATGATATATTGATGAATGCATACTTTATTCCAGGTTTTTAATGAAGCATGGCACAGCATTCTTAAAATGCATTTGAGCGGCGTCACGACAAAACCAACATAATGGGTTTGCAACCAGCATGGATCCAGACCAGCCTGCGCATCCGTGCAGTCTGATCAGGATCCATGCTGTTCGCAATCAGTTTCTTTACTTGTAATAGAGTTTGTAAGCGAACAGCATGGATCCTGATCAGACTGCACGGATGTGCAGGCTGGTCTGGATCCATGCTGGTCGCAAACCCATTATGTTGGTTTTGTCGTGACACGGCTCATTTTATCATCATGTCAGAAGATGCACATCGAAGCTTGTAATGAAACAAGTGTATCCGGGTTTTAATATCTCATGGTGTCCCGCTGGTACATCAGAATATAAAATTCAAATAACATCAGGATATATCTATTTGTGGAATATGGTGACAAATTTCACACTTCTTTACAAAACAACTTGTTAAAAAAAGTCGAGGTAGACTGCCTGAATTAAATCGTGATATAAAAGCGTACTGAATAGTTGGGTAAATAAACAATTAATTTTTAGCTTTCAGCAATCTGTGTTTTGCTGCAAAGGGAAACTGCCAAGTATTATTTTTCATATAAGACAAAGTAATTAAATCATGGTTATAGACAACTAAATTTTTCGGACACAAATTTTATCCTGTGACATTTAGCCTCTGCCTTCTAGTGACACTCAGTTCAGTAATGTGTGTGCTTTAAGGGTACATGGTAATAATTTACTTGTCCATGATTGTAAAATAAATAATGTGCATATGAAGATACAATGTACCTCAGGTTTTTTTTTCTTTCATCATTTTTATGTGCTCCGTTTCAATTATGACCCTGGTCTTCTTAAGTGCCAATATGGAGATAGGTCATAAGATAGTAGATGACCCCTAATGATTTTTATTTCAGTCTGTCAGAGGTCAAGGTCACTGTGGCTTTGACCAAGAAAAGCTTGTCTGACTTAGGGGTTATCACTATATAATATCAGAGTTACAGAGACATAATGTTACAGGGATTAAACAATAAAAATCTAGCTAATCTTTGCTTTTAATTTGTGATACAAAAATAGTCTTAGGACAGTTTCTTCAATATAGGTCCTGTCATAATATTTGAAAGTATATAGGACATGCTATATTTCATTTAAGCTTCTAGCTACATCAGTTCACTCCATACCATTTTATTCTCAGGTGATCAACTTTGGGCCAACCAGGCTCTCTTGTTTATCTAAAGAAACTTGATTTATGTAAAGAAATAAACAAAAAGGTAACAGATGTTGATTCAAAAGGAATAAGATGACAGTATTATTTTGTTTATATGGAATACTGAATACATTCAGTACTGAATTTATGGAGACTGTCATACGATACTACTTTAAAACAGAGTGGATTTATAAATAATTTATAATAGCCACTTGGCAAATATTTAGCTGAATTTGTTGAAAATGGAAGGAAATTTAATACCATCAAGATAATTATGTTACTTGTTCATTTGAGCTTGTAAATTTCTATTTGTGAACAAAAGAGCTGGAGTAATTTGAAGAAAATATTAAGGATTTTAACAATCTATGGTAGTTATGGTAAATATTTGTGGTTACATGTTAATGTTAAGGTTTTCGAATAATAATGATGGTAATTATTGTAAACATGCATTTAGTGCACGTTAATTCGATCTTAATTTATTAAAAGAACAATACAGTAGGCGGTTAATTACTACTACAATCACATGTTGGTAATGCTTTCAAAAGTAAAATTTAGGAAACATCAATATTGGATGACAATTATTGACATATTTCACTTACTTCCCTGTCTTAATGGTATAAGTCAAATACATGTTCTGTACTTAACATTATGATTTGTATTGTTTATAACTGCCCATAATGCAATTGTTTTTCTCATCACTGTAAGCAGGGTGCACAATTTTAGATAAGGCACCTGTTTTCGTTTTGAATTTTCATCATTTCTAGACAATTTATTAATTATTAAAAATTATTGATTTCAAAATCTGTTTCGATATCAATTGATCGATGATCATTATATATAAGATCTATGTTAAAGCAAGATTTACTTCTATAAACGACACTCACTCATTGCACACATTAATGATCCTCCATAACCCTACAGTTTAAAGATTTGACCGTGCTTTGAAAAATTTACTTAAATTTTATTTTCAATAAATTATTGCTGGCATCACTAAGATCTATATTGATAAATTACATTTCAGAAATTCCAGATGCATGAAGCACTAGTAGAAAGTAAACTTTGAAATAATGATAATTTTATTTCTGTTCTTTCAGTCCGAGTCCAAGTTGTTTTCACCAATCTCTGAGAAGTTGCAAGGAAATTCTCTTCAACCTGTCACAAAGATCTCAAAGAGGGAGTCATTGAAGGTAAGAGTTGATGATGTCAGAACATCCATAATTAAACCTTAACCTGCTTTGTTAAATTTGAATAATGGAATTGCCCTGCTTTGAATTTGAAACAGTCCATCAGGTTTTAAAGGAACTCCACTAAGGCCCAAAAACTTAAGAACTTAAAATTTAAAATTCTTACATAGACAAACTGAGGCTCTTAAAAAGGAAGATATTTAGAAGATGAAATAGATATTAAACTCTAAAATAAATTTGAAAATTGTATTTTTGTGCTGTTCCTAGCCCGATTTGAGTTAAAAAGAGTACTTGCAACGTTTTTCAATTTTGGGTCATTTTGCATAATTAGAATTATTTTTCTGGAAAAACAGTGTGAGCAATGATCTGAAATTTTGCGCACAAGTTATTGATTTAGAAACACTAATCTCAAAAAATTATTTCCAGCCCCATTATGTCAAAAAACCACAGTGAAGTCCCTTTAAGGAATATTGATAAATCAACCTTTCCACATTATAGAGTCTAGTCAGAGTGCATGGAGGTGCTCTAATTTAGTTGCCCAGGCACTTTGGTCCCATAAGAATAACTGTTAAATTTTTTCCCCTCTAAATTTTGCATATAGACTTGCCCTCTGTTGAATTTGAAACTGTCCAATGTTTAGTGAGCATCCAACATAATGCATCGAGTCTGAGATTGGACAGAATGTAAAAGCTTGCCAGTTGCTTTATACTGGTGACTTGCTGCTTGCATTAACCTTTAAAGATACCCTTTATAATATCCTGAAAGACTTTCTAACTGTTGATGATCAATTTTAAGGAAATTAACATGGAAATATAAAAAAAGTCAGCCGACAGTATAGAGCCTGGTCAAACTGCACTATGTACAGGCTGACCTGGCTCTATATTGATGACAATAAGGCTAATCATTTCAGTTCCATAGGTAAAGGTTAAGATGGCATAGATCAACTCATTTATGTTGTTTTAACCTAACCTTAAATTGTTGCTATATACATGAGGTATGTTATTATGGTACAGTAAAAATATGACACTGTTACTGAGTAGTACACTTCACATGGTTGCATGACATGAAAGTAATTATCGGAAAAATATTGCATGTATAAAATACTAAGAATTTATCATAGTGGAATATGTATAATGACATACAGGTTGTTTTGTACAAATTTTTGTTATAACACTACATGTGAAGTGTCATCATTTGTTCAACTAGTCTTGATCCATTGGTCTGATGATACATAGCTTTTGTGTCAGGTGTACTTTTGTATTTGAATTTTCCCAAGGTTATTGTAAAAGTTGATCTCTGTATTTTAAGTTACCCTCTGAGCACTTATCCTTTTTTCAATACATCAAACTGTGAGTTTTAAGCATTCTTATCAAAATGACTCCTAGGAAATAAAGCTAGCTGGAACTTGTTTGGACGTTGGTCAGTGTTTCTTTATGAATTCTTATGACAAGCTTTGCTGGGGAAAATTTTAATAATGATGTAGCCTATGCATGGCTTTTTGAAGGGGACAATTTTATGTAAGTGCACTAAATCAACTAAAAGGGAAAAAATCTGAAATCAAACACCCAACAACAGAGAATGGAGCATAGCCACATATTTAATCAAATGTTCAATTATAAATTGCAATTTAACATGCAAGGCTATCTCTAGTGACAGCTTTCTGTCTTTCAATCCATTAAATTATCAACAACCTGATCTAAGTCAGGTGCTGTTAAGTCATGGTTCCAGTGACAATTAGACACAGTTGCATCTTTGAGGGGAGAGGGGATGTATCTTTCTTGGGCAAGGGTAAACAGTCTGTATTCTGCTGTTGAATATAGGATGCTTGGGAATTTGTTTCCTCTTAAAAAAATGAAGAACTTTACATATATATTTATGTAAAGTTGCCAAAATTATGGTATGATGATAACTGCTTGTTTTTGGAAAGAAAAAAAACTATTTGCAGCTGAAAGGTCAAGGCCATTGGCTTTCTCTTCCTGTAGCTGAAAGGTCAAGATCATTGTACAGAATTTTCGACCTTGAGAAGATGGTTTTGTCTGGTTACAAAAAGACCAGCTAGCTCGAGATCTTTTTGCCAATTTTGAATAGGTTTATTAATTGTCTGTACCCTAATGTTATAAAGAAATTACTCTAAAGGTAATCATTAAGTGACAGTTTTAAAGCCAATATTGGGGGGGGGGGATGATTATGTGCAGAGTTAAGTGTATTAAGTGTGTTGTGGTCAGAAGTAAGTGCATCATGGTTAAGTGTATCATGTTTAGAGTTAAGTGTATCGTGTTTGGAGTTTAGTTTATCTCTATCGTTTGATCAGTAATTAACTGTTGGCTAAAAATTCTTATTTAGTATATGGAGTTTTCATGGATGATTTCTGACCATCACCTTTTACTGATCATAATTTTGTTACATTTTTAAGGCTGATTTAGGAAAATATTTTGAACATTAGATAAGAGTTATTTGAAGAAATGTTTGAATATCTAAAATCTCGCCCAGTATTCTTATACATCTAGTAACTGGTATTCCTATTTGATTAACACTAATTTCACTAATTTAGAATGATTTTACTAATTTATGATAATGATTTCACTAAATTATAATGATTGCACTAAATTATAATGATTTTACTATTTTAGAATAATTTCACTAATTTAGATTTACTAATTGATAATGTTTTCACTAATTTTTTTAATAATGACTTCTCTAATTTAGAATGATTTCACTAATTTATTTCACTAATTTATAATGATTTTACCAATTTAGACTTACTAATAATTAATGATTTCTCTAATTCATAATAATGACTTCACTGATTTAGAATGATTTCACTAATTTATTAGCTCGACTTTTTTTTTTTTGAAAAAAAAAAGTAGAGGTATTGTTATAGTCAGGTCGCCGTTGCCGTTGCCGTCTCCGTTGCCGTTGCCGTCCGAAAACTTGTACCTGGATCATAACTTTTTTATTTCTTGCTGTATTGTCTTCATACTTGGCCACAACAACCCTTGGGACAAGACCCTTCAGTAGACCACACTAACCTTGACCTTCATCCATAAATGACCTTGACCTTCAAGGTTAAAAGTCCAATTTTTGCTTGTTCATGCTGTTATTGGCTGTTACTTTGTTATTTTTGAATGGATTGTCTTCAAACTTGAACATAATAATTTTCAAGGATATCCCTTAAAAATAACCAGTCAGACCTTGACATTCACTCATCAATGACCTTGACTTTGAAGGTCAAATTATTGAAATTTTCATTTTTTTGGCTATTATTGGCTGTAACTTTGTTATTTTTGAATGGATTGTCCTCAAACTTGAACATAACAATCTTCAAAGATAACTGTTAAAAATATACCGAAAGACCTTGACCTTCACTCATTAATGACATTGCCTTTGAAGGTCAAATTATTGAAATTTTCATTGTTTTGGCAGTAACTGACTGTAACTTTGCTATTTTTGAAGGGATAAACTTCATATTATAACAGAACATTCTTAAGGACCAGACCTTGTTGTTTATCAAACCCAAATTTGCTTGGGCTCTTTAATGACCTTGACCTTGAAGGTTATATTACTGAATTTTCTCAGATTGTGCATTTATT